AAGAGCCGGTGAAGGCTCGGGTTAAGGTGCGTAAGTGAATCTCATTTCATCTCGTTTCATAGCATGACATGGTAGAATTCTAATATGAAATTACATATTCTTACTTGGAATGTTGATGTGAATATGAATATTTGAATGTGAGTATTGCACGTGCACTTAGATGGAGAGTAGTCTCTGTAGGAATTACTCTACTGGACGTGGCTGACCTTATACGAGAAAATATTTCAGGTGCGGGTTATACGCCAATAGACGGCACTCACTCGGGCACTTAAGGAGGAAGAAAAGCCGACTTGTAGCTTTCAATCTTTTTTTTTTTTTTGTAAAATTAGACATGTAATTAAATTTTGGCATGTAATGTATGTAAAAGGATTGGAATTTGAATTTATATTAACTATGTTTGATGCATAGGTGTGATGTGTTATAGATCATAGTGGTACATGACAGTGTTACCTTTTTTCAGGCCATGTTACACTTTTACACGCCAATTTTCCACTTTTACAATTCAATGTCACACTTCATACATTGACATAGGAACTCCGGTTTTAGGGGCGTCAAAAATATGGATAAATGGACCCGGTGTGGTCATTGTTTTATATTGGGCCTCGGATAAGTCATGTAAATGTATATTGCACAGGTTGTATTTTGGGTAGAGCTCCCCGTACAAAGGAGACTCTACCCGAATTTTGTTAAATTATGGATCCCGGCAAATGGGACATTATGGCACGATATCAAGTTATCAGTATCCACGGGTATTCTGCGGGTTGATGGGTGATCAGCGAACCCCCGAATTTTGGGACGTCACACAACTAGAAGAAAACACATATGACATTGTCCTTCAAACAAAGGCTCATTCTATGAGATCTTTGAGTAACATGTCAAGAGCAAGGGCATGATCTGAGGATTTGGACGTGTACTTGATTGGGAATGTTCATGCATATGCGATGTCCAAAACACAACTATGTCCTTAACCCGACTACTTTGTTATGTTTCTTTTCAGAGCACCTACGTCACAACAGTAAGATTTGATATATTGTGACATGATCATTATTATGTTTTGAATCGCAAAAAAAATCTCACCACACAAGGTCAAATTTACACTTGAATTTTCTGTCTTGTGATAGCACTAAGATCTAATACTCAATCTCAGCCAATATGCACGATCGCCAAACATTTTTCTTATCAGCAAGGCTAAAGGAAACCGGTTAAGAGTCTACTTAGAAAATGTGTATTGGCTTTCTTAGTTGCACTACAGCAGCTAACATACCTATAAACAGCAGCTAACATACCTATAAACAGCATATAAAGTGGCAATTACAAGGCCAACCGCCTCAACAATGCAAACACTCATCAGATTCGCCCCAAAACCTACTAATCATGGTTGAATCCTTCTATCATTCCCACAACGTGTTGATCCTGGCAAGGGCAGTTGCAACTGTTAACTAACCTAACTAACAACTGCTCATAACTATTCTGTATGTTGTGTGCACATGCCAACAACTTCCCTCATACTTTGCGCATGCCATCAACTGCACAGAACCGTCCTACATGCCATGCACATATCATTAATTATTTAGAACCGCCACTATCTGCAGGGCACATGCCTCAATTGTTCGGAACCACATCACATGTTGTACACGTGTCTTTCTTGCTAGCCCACAGCACTTGATTTGCTTTGTCTTCATGCCAAGTTGTGTCAAGTCATGCCCAACACATGATTTGGTCTTTTAATCTAACAATGTCCCATAATTCGAGCCCATCGGCTAGCCTAGTTTACTTGTTTGTTTGTGCATTGATTGGGGCTTCCACCAACGACGCGTCCCACCAATCATCATCCCACATCTCAGGTCTCGAACTTTGGAATGTCTTACCTCCACCTATGGCAAGTATTTATTAGGGTCATGTCTTGTTTTGGTGTGCCAATGCATAGGGGCATAAGGGTCCCTAGGGAGGCTAGTTTGGTACCCCTTCACGGAGCATTCCCCCCTCCTATAAAAGCATTAGTGAACAAATCTCTATTAGCAATAACAAACATATTCTGAACTGAGAAGTCATAATAACTTAAATCAGAGATATAGTTGTTGTATGCCACTTGTGCCTTTATTGAACCAGTTTATAACCCCACCAAATACTTGTCCTAATTTTTAGAAATCCAACTTTACACTAAGGATTTATTTTACCAAACATAACGCATACTCCACTCCATAGAATTAGATGATTGCAGCTCTAGAAATCAAAGCATGTAATATGTAATGATCACGTACTGCCGGAAGGTTCCAACACACCATAGTCTAGTCAGCTAGAAATGTCCACAAGACTGATCTTTTGTCATCATTTTCTTCCTTTATCATTGCTTTTCAAGTTTGAAGGATTGGCATTTGGCACGCCCCAGTCTTCACCAGTTAATTGTTTTAACCGATGAACTTATTTCTAAGTTCATATCTAGGAAGAATAAGAAAAAATTTCCGATGACTTTTAACCTGAAGTTTTGATGGTTTTTGGTAAGCTCTGTCAAGTTACACTTAAATGGAGTTGTTTTATTGTTTTGAAGAGGGCTTCTGTGATGTGCCTGGTTGCCTTCTGATGACGGAAAGTTGGAAGATTCGACGGAAAGTTGGAAGATTCCAACATGCTTGCCTAGAGAGAAGATGATCGACATCCTACAGATTTTACATTTTGTCTTGTACATGATTACGTTTACTTTTGTATTGAACTGAGGTGTTTTCTCTGTTTGATTGGCTGTTTTGTGTACTTGAACGGCAATTCAAAGCTATAATCATTAGGCAGTGGAAAGTGAGTAAGCAATTTTGCAATGTGAAATAGACTAGAAATTTGTGTAAACTTCACCTATGGTCTTCATCCTATAATCTTTGTATTAATTAAAATTTTAAATTATTTTTGTATCAATTAAATCACTGAACTCTTTAATCGTATCAATTGAGTCATTCTGTCCGCCTCCGTTACATTTTTTAACGAAAAGTGTCAAAGTATAATACTCATGTGACATAAATGAGTTGGAATAATCTATGCATATTACATTATTACCCTCAAACTATAACTCTTGTGTCCACTAAGTCCTCAATTTTTTTTTTATCAATTAAGCTCATGAACTCTCTAATTATGTCAATTCTGTCTTTTTGTATCATATAGTCATGTGAGTGGCACACTCTAACGGAGACTAACAAAAAAGTTTAATTGATACAATTAAAGAGTTCAGACGCTCAATTAACACAAAAAATTTAATAATTTAATTGATGTGAAAGTCACGATTAATTTGAGGGTCTTATATATAGTTCACTCTAAAAATTTCAAGTTCCAAACACTCTGCCATTACCAGCAATAGTACTCCTATGTTATAAAAAGGGCTTTGCCTAGTCCATAGACAGAAGGTGAAGTTCACTCCTGAGCGACAGCCAAATAAGAGTTTTCTTATTAGGTCCCTTAATGATCTTCTAGAAAACATCATTATAGAAATTCTCTCCAGGCTTCCCACCAAGACTATCACCCATTGCAAATGTGTTTGCAAGACCTGGCACAATCTACTCTTAGACCCTTAGACCCTGGGTTTGCTAATCTACAACTCTCGAGATCACCCACCAGCCTTTTTGTTCACCAACTTGGTCAATTCTTGCCACCCCGGAGTCAAACATTTTCAAGTTGGTCGAACTTGTGATGAGCATGACCACCATGATCTTCACTATGACCCAGTGACGAAATTCAAACTCGGAGTTTGCTTCCCAAATGCACATGCTTTCTGTGGGTTCTATTAATGGCTTTGTATGCTTGTGCCAATACAATCTTGACGAGACTATTTACATTTTGAATACTGGGAACGGGAAGATGGAGAAGCATTGAAAATGTTCCATTCTCCCCTGTTTATGATGACCAGCATGGAAGATCAGTTTGGGATTTATTGGGAGGATGTTTATTTGGGTGATGAAGGAGTCATTGACTAGAGAATATGTCATTAAGACGAACCCTGACGTAGAATGGTTGTCATACGAAATAGTTTTCCTGCTAAAATATTTGAAGAATGGCTATATCTTGATGCTATGGCGTGATGCCTTTTTGTTCTCATGTAGTCCTGAGAGAAAAAGGTTGGAACAACTCGATATTTCCCGAGATAGTACCTAGAGCGTTACACCTTTCACTATTTTTAATGTGAAGCTTCATGTCGCAAGCTTTCGCTCGCTTAAAGAATTTGTGAGAGAGAAAGTCGACATGTTCTGAATGCTAATCACAACAAAGGAACTCGGTTGCATTGAAGAGCTCAGCTGCAGTTCCACCAATGCTGCTCATGTTTTAGATGAACGGTGAATGTGGGTTTGATTGAGATATTAGTATTTGAATTTTGATTCATGAGTTATACAAATCAAATTAGTGTCAGGGCATATCGCGCGTAACAAATCCTTATTAAGTAATGGGTCTCCAAAAAAAGTACGAATTGAATTGCTTGTGCTACTCTTACGTTTCCAATTAGCAAAATAATACAATCAAGTACAACTACGTGATCAAATTGTGAAGCCCACCCAGAGTAGAATTCAGTGAGGAGAGGATTGAATAACATATATGAAGAACCATACTTCCCTTAATTAAAAAATAAAACGAACGCTTTCCATTAACAAGCAAAGGTCCGACCATTCTTACAGTACCCAAGCCGGTGCCCTCATTCATACAGACAATAAACTAGCCATAGTGACAACAAAGAATAAATTAGTCATTATTATACAAGGACCTGGTGTCCGTCTAACCTAACCGATCAAAGTGAAAAAACCTTGGATACCAAAAAAAATGAAAATAATAAAAAATTCCCATTACAAAAATTGGCACAAAAAACACAAGACCCTCGAGCAGTGAATATGGTGAACTGATGCGTGTCCAAAGACCAGAAATGCCAGAGTCAATAGCACACTAGGAGTACTTCATCAGCACATGTAGGCCTTGGCCAACAATTTGAAGAGCCAGCTGCATCTTGTAAGAGTTGTATATCCAAGTTCATTGCATTATTTGAAATGGTCCGGTTTAATTATTGCAACAAATTCAGTGTGCATCTCATCATTGTCTTTTTGCTTCCATATTTCACCATTAGCATGGACCAGCCACGATATTTGAGGAGAAAGTGATGCATACAAATCTGCAATTAATCCAATAGCTTACATAAGCCAACTATAAGGTTAAAGTTTGCTACATGACAACTAGATTCTATAAAGGCCTGATTCTCATCAATTGAAAACCAGCAACAAAACAGACCACTGTGTTAACCATACATCTCTCGATATTAAACTTACATGGCAAATGGAAAAATCCCTTTCAAAAGTTGATCATCCTAATTATAGGTTGCAAGCTATTGAGTGAACGGGGACAATTGCCCTATCCAAGCACCGCATTTAGGGCTCTCAACATTCCAAGCAATATGGAACAAATCCTATAAATTTTCTTTTTTGGTAAGTAAATCTATTCAAGCTACATAGTTTATATACTTTAGTTATTTAACCAAACATGCCTCACTTCCTAAAACACTAGGTGATTTTAGCAAATTCCCCAATCCCGCCTTCTAGAATAATCTTACGTCTCTGCTCTCAATGCCCTCCCGATTTATCCGCTCTCTCTCATCTCCCAAGCTAGCAACTCTCTCTGTGGCACCACCCTCTCAACGTTGATCATCCTCTCTGATCTCTTATCTGTTGTCTCTCCGATCTCTCAAACTCAACAATCTATCATTTCTCAGATCTCTCTCTCTCTCTCTCTCTCTCTCTCTCTCTCTCTCTCTCTGCACGCGCAAAGTCAAACAACCCCTGATTTCTTGATCTCTTGGCCCTCCTTCAGTTTCTCTACCTTCAATGGAGGAAAAAATCAAAACCCTCTCTCCTCTCAACAAAAAAATGAAAAAAGCCACAATCTAATTCATGCATAGGAATGCTGCATGAAAAAGTAATCTGACTTTTCAAATTAGACTTTGACTGTAGAACATACCAAAAAGAAAAGGTTGACTCTAAACCTGTCAAAGCTCAACTCCAATACCATGTTAAGACATCCAATCCAACTAAAATCAATTAGTAATGAGAGGAGAGGTCCACTAAATTCATTCAAGTCTACAAGGAGTAAATTATACCAATGGAAGACAAGCTCTAACAGGGACTAAGCGAGCACAAAAAATCAATTTTAACATTAACAATGAAACAATTTAAAGTGTGGGATAATCTATTTAGTTAAAAACAAACTAAACAACCCAAATAGAATGAGCAAGACTCTAAATTTTCAACATGGTATTAATAAAGTTGTAATTTAACCATTAATGGAATATAAGCAACTTTAGGATGGCAATTATCCCAAAACTTATCATCAGAAGCTATAAAAAAGAACAAAAATGACTAGAGAGAGATGGAGAGAAAAATATTGCTCAGCCTGAAATCGGATTCAGTGGGGCGTTTTATCCATGACTAATCATTCACAGTGCTACCAAAATGAAAAAAGGGAGGACAGCTGCGAAAGGTGACCTAAAATATAGTCAAACTTCAAACCCATAGATCTTATAGTATTTTTGCTAAAGACCTTGAGATGATTTGCCGTAGATCAACTAACAACTAGGTGCCTAGTGTAATATTGCCAAGGCAGACAAACAATCAAGCCTTGATGAAAAGTTACATGCCTAAGGCTTACCTTGGCATGAATTTGTAAAATTTAGGTCAAACAGTAGTCAGTTATAGGAATTAAATCCCATGAGCACAAGAGCAATCCCTTGAACATATAACCAGAAGCACTGTAGTTTCAGCATTTAAGTACCTGAAACAGGAGGTGGATCTGGCTCTCTGGTACTGTGCAAAACCATAGTACCCGAAAGCACAGTTATGAAACCACAAAGTACCGAAATAATATTGCCAGCACTCTGACCAGACCAATCCTAAAACAGCAGATATTGACAATAAGTTTTATATGGTAAAAAGCAAAAGCGTCCCATATATAAATCTTAAAAGAGAAATACCCTGAACATGATGGCACTGGCAAAAATAGTGAGGGACGTGAACATGGCATAATGGATTGGAGAAACAATAGCCGCGTTAAATGTGTCCAAAGCCTGAAAAAAAAAGCCACACTCATTCACCAAACTACATTATTTTCTAGATTGGAGCAAAACAACAAATTGCAAAGACATACAAAATCAAACAGGAACTTATATTTCTCCATTAGGCAAGAAGCAATTATTTCTAAATGGAATGGTAAAGTTGTTGAACTTGGTTAGAAGAGCATCCCGAAATTACTTTTCCTACATGTGTTTTTTCCTGATCAGCAACTTATAGCCTATTGTTTTAAGGTACGCAGAGATCCAAAGTGGACTACATTGACCAAGAAAGATCCCTTTTGTGATCAAGTTGAGGGGAACACATGCTCCCCCAAGGGCTATGTTCATACAATAATAGTCTAATAACCTAACATACCATCAAAGCTCTAATTAGGTGCCTTGACACCGAATGGCTTCACAAATTATATGTTATAACCCCCATAAAAAGGATTTCAGGATGAGTTTTTGAAGTGAATAGCTTCCAGGTTTAGGTTCTACATGTTGAAAAGTGCCCTCTGATGAGAGTGATTCTTTTAGACATCAAGAATTTCAAGGTTTCGATGATAACCTAATGGCCAAAGGGTAGAAGGTTGAATTTGGCAAGCGTTAGTTAAGGTAGAGTTTTTGGGCCAACTCTAGACCTCATATGGGACAAATGCATCTTCCAATTTTCTTGCGAATTCTACGCTTCTAGGCATGGACTTCGATAGAGAACGATTAGGCTTTGTGAAAGGAGAACAATGGCGAAAGCAGATTAAATCAGATCTAATAGCAGGAAAACATAGGATTGTTCTCATGCTATTCAGCAAGGAAGAAAGCAATCCTAATAAGTGACTTGAAAGACACTAAGCAAACATGCAATCTACTGTACCAGTATCATTATATGTTAAGCAGATGGACTGTGAAGTGATACAAATTCTTGTTCTTATAATATAGGCATAAACCCAGATTGTTGCATAAGTTGTTGGCTTGTAGAAATGCTGGCCCATTGATAAATGACTTGATTCCAAAACAAAATGCCAGCTACCATTCCGTCTTGCAGTAAATAAAAGAATCATGCCATTCCTCCCTTTATTCTGGGTCTATCCATCTATTCTTCTCTCCCAGCAACAATTATGTCAAATCACCACCTTAAATTAGCTTCAAAAAGGGCCCTAGGCCTTTTCAAGTCATGCTCAATAATTTTTACATCATAAAGATGAAAAGAGATTTTGAGTTTCTATAAGTGTAGGCACTATCTTTTACTTCACACTTCCAGCACCATGACAAGAACTAAACATGACACAAAAAATAAAAGTGGAGAAAAAAAAGAAAGAAAGCTGACCTTGTTTAAGTAATTCAGCTGGGTGATTATACATGTAACAGCAACCATTACAAAAACCCATGTTTGGAAGTGTGCTGCCTGACTCGAACCCTCCAATGTAAGTTTTATAGCAATACCTATTGCTTTAATGCTCATAACCTTCAATAGAGCACCAAAAAAAGTTACACATCAAGTCATAGCAAATTAACAACTTGGGGGTTAAAGTATCTTTACTGTAAGTGCCAGCATGTGTTAGCGCTGCAACTAGTATATCATACTGAACAAGCATTTTTAAAGTTTAATAAATAAATAAAAAAGGAAATTTTTTTGTGCTCTAATAATGACCATGATAAGCAATTATATTTTCAAGATTCCCAATGACATTCACCTATTCCTTGTATTTATGACATCCGAATTGAGGAATATAGGAGCTGAAGTGCTGCATGCATTACATATCTAATGTTACCATAAAAGGTATACGCTCAAAGATGCGAAGTAGGGGCAGTCAGTCGGATACTATGGGGTGTTGTCTAATGCAAGGATCAAAATTTATTTTCATTTTCCGCCTAACAACTGAAACATCTCAGTTTCGGTGGAAACCGAGATAAAACAAAGATCAAACTTTGAAATTCCAATGTTTTGGAATATTTTGAGATGTTTTGTGTTGTTTCTAAATGTTCCAGCTAGTGTTTTGGAATATTCCAATCCTATTAATGTTTCAAACAATTTTGCAATCAAAATTTCAATTTTTTTCTCTAATTTTCTTCTATTTCCGAAACATTTTTGTTTCCAAACTGACCAAAAACTATGCAGCGAAATTTCAATCCTTGGTCTCGTGCACTAGTAAAAGTTTGAGCTTCCGACCATGAGATTATGGCCTATGGGTCCTAATCTAACGACAACCACTTTGAGCAAATAATGACAAAGCTTAGGTTTGTAAATAGTCAGGCCCTCACAACACTCTAAATTAACAAAGACCAAACTAGGTGATAGCCTTGTTCATTTTGAAGGACGGGATCACTTGGGACCATGGATCAAAATTTCGTTTCAAAATAGTCGACATGGCCGAAACGTTTTCGTTTCTCAGGAGACCAAAATGAAACAGTGATGGAATCGAAATTATGATATTTTCAGGTATTCCATAATATTTTTAAATGTATTATAATATTTCAATGCATTTGCACAATTTTTTTAGAATGATTTAAGGTATTTTAAGATACTTTGATATATTTTCATCAATGTTTTAGAAAAATAATTCTTAATTTTTTTATTTTTTTCATTATGCTTCCGAAACACGTCGAAACTTTTTCGTTTCCTAGGTGACCGAAACGATATTTTGATCCTTGCTTGGGACCTTACAAAGTTAGCTTTTAGTTGTGCCAAGTAATATAATTTCTCTTACATAACTTCTTATATAATTGGTTCAGTTTTATAAACGATTAAATTTTCTTAAAGAGTCAAGTTTTACTTTGGTCCAACTATGATTATAATAATAATTAATTGGTTTGGTTAATTTGACAAGTGAAAGTTTTTACTCATGCATGATTAGTTTTTGGTTGAGTCATGTTACCATGTTGAATAGAAACTCATATATTGCTGGTGTAAAGATAACTTGAATCCCACATCAAATGATTAGAATCACCCAAAGTTAGTTTATATGCTTGAGGGGCCTCTCTACTTATTGCCAAATAGTTTTGAGTTAGATGCTCTAACAGTTGGTTTAGTCTTGTGAATGATATATCTTTCTTGTTCACCCATTGTTGGTTTTATTTTGTGAATAACATGTATTTCTTTAAGAGCAAAGAAATGGGTCTTATTTTGGTCCAACTATGCTTAAAACCATCATTTTGGTGTCAACAAATTTTACTAGTCAAAGGCTTCAAACATTGCAAGTATGAATTAATCATATAGTGTTAGCAGAAAATATATAAAATCTCTTGATGTTCTTAGGCATCATATAACACACTTTCAAACTTGGGAAGAATGGTTAAGAGAATCTAGGCGAGAAGTCTACTTGCTTCTTTTGCTTTTGCTTTCTCCTTGTTTTCTTCATAGTTGTTAGTATCGTACGATACGCGATACGTATCGTACGATACGTTACGATACAGCCCTAAAACGATACGGATCGTAGTTATGTATCGTTTTTGCGTTGTATCGTCCGATACACGATACGTTTTTACAATACGATACGTATCGGTACAAAACGCACGATACGTGCAATTTTTTTTTTTTTTTTTTTTTTATAAACAACGTCGTTTTGTGTTCTGATTTTTTTTTTTAATCTCTATAACCACTGAAACGACGTCGTTTCAGTGGTTAGGGTTACAACAAAAAAATCCCTCATTTCTCATATATTCGCCCTTCGCTAGTCAGACTGTCTCTGGTTTCTCTTCAGCCATCGACGACGAGTGGCGATCGCTATGGGTGGTGATCGCTATGGGTGGTGATCGACTGTGGGTGGTGATCGACTGTGGGTAGTGATCGACTGTGGGTGGCGATCGCTATGGGTGGTGATCGCTGTGGGTAGTGATCGACTGTGGATGATGATCGACTGTGGGTGGTGATCGCTGTGGGTGGTCTTCGACTGTGTGGGTGGTCTTCGACTCTGGGTGGTCTTCGACTCTGGGTGGTGATCGATTGTGGGTGGTCTCCAACTGTGGGTGATTGCTGGTCTTCGTCTGTGGGTGATTGCTTGTCTCCGACTGTGGGTGTTGATCGCTGCCTTCTTCCTTCTCCAGGTACTCCTTCTTTTTCTTTTTCTTCTTCTTCTTCTTCTTCCCAGTCTCCATTGATCGTTGGTCCTGTGCAGTATGTAATGATATTAATTTATTTACAAAGCCAAATGTATATATATTTTTTTTGTATAAAAATTTCTAAATCTTGATTAATTTTAATTTTGTGCAACAGTGGCATCACCTGCATCCAATTTTCATATAGAAATGACTAAAAAACTTGCTAATGATCCCACATGGGAACATTGTGACAAAGTAGAAGGATCAAGGTTAAAATTGAAATGCATTCATTGTGCAAATGTCTATTGGGGAGGCATTTCAAGAATGAAAAATCATTTGGCAAGTAATCGCAAAGATGTAGCAGCGTGTAAGCATTGCCCTGAGGAAGTAACTGAATTTTTTAAGCAATTATTGGATGATAGGGCAATTAGCAAAGATATGAGTCTTGTGGATTCGAAAAGTAGTGGCAGTGTGGGTAGTACTACTGCTGATAAAATACAGCCAACCACCACAATTACTTTGAATACTATGATGAAGAAAAAGGGTAGGGAAGATGTATGCTTGGATATTTGTAGATGTTTTTATGCTAATGCCCTTCCTTTTAATTTGGTAAAGGATCTATATTTTGTAAGAATGTTAGAATCTGTTACATCGTTTGGTAAGGGATTGAAACCTCCATCGTATCATGAGGTGAGATGTTCTTTTTTGAAAAAAGAAACAAATTTGATTAATGGTGGGTTGATGGAAAATTATATAGCAGAGTGGAGAAGGACGGGTTGTACTCTTATGTCTGATGGATGGACTGATGGGAAACATCGCTCTATCACTAATTTTTTAGTGAATAGTCCTAGAGGAAGTGTGTTTCTTAAAAGTATTGATACTTCAGGTATTTGTAAGAATGCGGATAATCTTTTTGAGCTTTTAGATTCAATGGTAGAAGAGATTGGTGAGGATAATGTTGTTCAGGTTGTAACTGATAGTGCATCGGCTTATGTAAAAGCTGGGGAGTTGTTAATGGCAAAGAGGAAAAAGTTGTTTTGGTCTCCTTGCGTTGCACATTGTCTAGATCTCATTTTGACGGATATTGGGGACCTTCCTCTGCACAAGGATATAATGTCAAAGGCAAGGAAAATCACGGTTTACATTTATAGACATTCTTGGGTGTTAAATCTTATGAGAAAGTATACAAAGAAAAGGGATTTGGTGAGAGCTTGTATGACCAGATTTGCCACCTCATATTTAACTTTAAGGAGTTTATTTGAAAATAAAATTGGGCTTAGAGCAATGTTTGCTTCTGAGGAATGGCAGAGAAGTCAATATTGTAAGAAGGGAGATGGTGTAAAAGTGATGGATATTATACTAGCTGACCAAAATTTTTGGGGATCAATCAAGTATTGCTTGAAGTGTGTGTTGCCATTGGTGAAGGTGTTGAGGCTTGTAGATGGGGATCTAAAGCCTGTCATGGGGTATATTTATGAGGCAATGGACAAGGCAAAGGAACAAATCCAAAAGAATTTTCGTAATGTGAAGAAGCACTATGAGCCCATATGGACTATTGTTGACACTAGATGGAACATGCAATTACACAGACCTCTTCATGCAGCTGCCTATTATCTCAATCCCGCGTAAGACTTAATTTTCTCAATTTTTATATCATTTTATATCTATATATTGTATGCTGATCAATGATCATTGTAAATCAAAATAATTATTTCAGGTTTCATTACACCGATAGTGCGGACTGTGAGATAAAGATGGGACTATATCAGACTATTCAGAGAATGTGCCCAAGTCCTATTATGAGAGAAAAAGTTGATAAACAATTAGATATCTTTCATAATGCTGATTTGATGTTTGGAATGGACATGGCAATCCAAATGAGGAAGAAGAAACAACCTGGTTAGTGGTAACTTAACTTAAGTTAGTTATTTGAATGCAACTGCTTAAGTTAGTTAATGGAGTATTCTATTGTAATTTTTTATAGCCTTGTGGTGGAAATCATTTGGAGGATGTTGTCCAGAGTTGCAACAACTTGCTATCCGCGTCCTTAGCTTGACTTGTAGTGCCACTGGATGTGAGAGGAATTGGAGTACATTTGACCAGGTGCACTCTAAGAGGAGAAATCGATTAGAGCAACAAAGATTAAGTGCACTTGTGTTTGTGAAGTACAATCTTCGATTGGAGGCAAGACACCAAAAGAGAATACTAGAGGGTGATTCCTATGATCCTATTTCTCTCTCAGATATGGAATCTGATGATGAGTGGATCACTGAAAAAGAAGATGCACTCCTTCCTGAGGACACTACTTGGATGAATGTTGGTAAATGTTTTGAGGTTCAAGAAGGGACTAGCAAAAAGAGAAAGAGAGGTAATTAAAATGTAGTGGTTGTTTTTTCTTCTTCTCCATTACTTTGAATTTTATTTTTTTTATATTTTGTATTGGTTGCTTTGTAGGGCCTAGAAATCTTACTTTATACAAGAAAAAAGGAAAGCAAATAGTTCAACTTGAAGATGAGGATGAGGATGAGGATGAGGATGAACAAATACAAGAAGTTGAAGATGATAAAGGAAGTGAAGACGTGTTGGCATTTGATCACAATGATGATGATGATGATGATGCATTTTCAATTGAAATTGAAGATTGAGTTCAAAATGGATGTTAGAAATTTGGATTAGAAGTCTCTTTGGTGTTTAATGTTTGAATTAGTGAACTATGGTTGTGAACTTTGCATTATAATAGTAGTGGATTATGTTGATAACTTGAATAGTTGGTGGAGTATTAATGAAATGCTATATTTTTTTATGAGTGTATGACTTTTTTTCAAAGGTATATATATTTTATTATTATTTATTTAAAATTGCATCGTATCTTACGATACACGATACGATACAATATTTGTATCTTACGATACGCCTTCCGATACACGATTTGATAACTATGGTTTTCTTTACTTATTCCGCACTTGTATCAGCCACTAAGAATCAATCAGAAGATGTTGACTTTTCTTTTTCTACCTTCTTATGAGACGAACCAGACCCTTCCCTTTCTCAATCATAGCATGCAGAATAAGAACACTTACCACCAAGATTATGGCCATCTGCAGCTCTGATGAACTGCCCTTAATCTGTGTCCTACAAAGCCTCATCAACCCTTATCCTTCTACTTGCCTTTGGGGCTTTAATTTGACAGCCAAAGACCAATAAATTATAGTCCAGGAATCAACCAACCTAGTCAAAACATCTTCAAGACGCAGTGAATTTCAACCTTTTTCTATCTACCAGTTCAACAGCTTTTGCGTTACAAAATAACTCCCTCAAACTATCAACTTTTCTTAAGTTGATGACAAATTTAATCATGAGTAAACCCCGTTATAGGGCCTTATAGGTTTTATATTACTGTCCTACATCACTTTGGGTATTGACTCACAGGAATGTGTTACACCGTTACACAATTATGTTTCATATCACTTGCCCAACATCAATCAATTAATCTAGTAAATGGTCAACAGAAAATGGATATAAATACTAACCGTTAAAGACCCAATAATTGAGCATATGCCAATATAAACCATAATGTTTGTTTGTCCATAGCGCGGACCACAATACAACACCAGCACCAAAACTACAGCTATTGCTGAGGCTGTGTACAAAAGGAAAGCTGGACCAAACAAACAAAAATAATTAAGGAATAGTCCAGATATTTACGTATCATGAATGATAATAATCAGAGTACATAAGTTTTACCTGGTTGTATCGCCAAGTCCCAGATTTCATCAACTGAATTTATACTATGTTCACCAGGTGCATGAAGCACGATCACTGTAGCACCCACTACACATAAAACACACCCCAATACTCCCATTTTCCGCAATTTTTCCTTTAACAGAAAATGAGCGAGAACAGCACTGGAAGTGAAATGGAGAAAATCAAGTTCATATAACTATTCACTTTAAACATTCATGAATCATGACTACCGAGAAAAAGTACAATTCCAATAGACAAGAGATGCACTTCAGAATTACCTTACAATTATACTTAATGCTCCAAGGGGCGTTACAAGAACAGCAGGAGCATACATGTATGCTACAAAATTTGCTAATTCTCCTAGAATCACTGCAAAATTTGACGAAACAAAATAGAAGCAAATCTAGATTTACTCAAATCTTATAACAGAAACAACTAAAATACAGAGCTAAACAGTTTGAACAGTGCAGCACTTACTAGTGATCATTCCAATCCACCAAAGTGGCTCTCGCAAGTAACCATGTCCTCCCGAGCCTTCATGTAATGCAACAAACGATCCATCATAAACATAAAGTTGGCACTTGACAGAATTGATTAATTACAGTAATTTTAAGCCACATATTAGTTTAGGTTTCCTACAGCTTCATTTGGTTGGAAAGAAAAATATATGGGAAACTGAAAGCGGTAGAAAGTGGAGTGAAAGAAAAGAAAGTAAAAAGAAAATATATTTTCGTGCATTCACTTGATTAGTTTGAAATTTTTTCAAGAAAATGTAAGAAAAAAAATTAACTACCCATGTTACTCTTATCCATTCCAAATAAGACAACAATAGAAACTATCACCCATTTCAAATCTAATTAAGATTATCAATCGAGTCGTATCATTTCAGAATCGTGTCAAACGATTGCCAATTTTTACCTAATTAATTTTATTAACAGTGTTAAACAATCTAACATTAGTCAAATGTGTTTACTAAGTATCTTTTGTTTTGATCAACATGTATAATTTTCTATCAAGCCAAAAAAAATGAATGGATTCTGGTCGTTATTAATGAAATACAAGATTTTTAAAACATTTGAACAATAAAATAATAGTGTAATTAACCATAAAATAATCATCCAAAAAAACCACAAAGAACCCCTCCCTTCACTAACACCCACATATGTTATCCATATCTAACAACTAAAGTGAATGGCCACAAACTAATTCGAGATTCACTTTGGTTGAAGGTGGGCATTAAGATCATCATAGTCTCAAAATGAAGACCCAATAACAACAGAGAGAAACCGATCATCAGAAAGGAAAAACAAATTTTTTATTGGTCGATCATCATTGAAGGAATTATCAATTCGGAACTTATTAATCCTCTATCTACATCCACTTATATGTCACCAGACTCACTACTCTCTCTCTCTCTCTCGCTCGCTCTTAAAATCTGGTCCCAAAAGAGGAGAAGATCCCATGGCTCAGTGAGAAAAATAGTCAAATATAGGATACTACTGGTAGTTTTACTGGAAAATAAATTTTCCTACAAATCTTGTGGGAAACAGATTATGGCTTTTGCGAGAAAATTGGTTGGATAAGGACTCTCATTTCTTGCATATATCACAATACTTGCTAAACACAAAAATCTTTTTTTTTTTTTTTCTATTTCCCACATTTTCCACCACTTTTATGCTAAACAAATGCACCCTACACGAACTTTCCATCCTTACTTGAAGAAAACTATATGAACAATCACTTTAACTAGTCCCATGACTCCCATACAATTGTAACCGTTATACAATGGGTCAATCATCCAATGTGCAAAGCTTGTGTCATTTTCAAATTTTCTTCTATAAAATGCAGATTTCATCCCTATTGTCAGCTCCACCAAAGACAAACATCAGTCAATATTCATTCACTATATTCAGAAAAGAAAAAAAATTAAAAGGAATGAAACGCATCAGTTGATCTATTACTTTCAGTGGGTTTCATTTATACTGTCTACTCAGCATTGAGAACAAGACACATCCGCTCGGTGGGAGTTATTTTACCACTTAAAACTATTTCTCATAACATTTCTAACTGTGCGAGTATATTTCCACACAAGGAGTCTCCACCTCGAACGGACAAAGGGAATGGTGAGGACGTCTTGAATAATCTGCAAGACAGAAGACACCTAGGTGAACCGATGACTAGAGGCAGTCAAAGGGACTCTGATGTTTAAGTCAGAAAGCAAGTCGAATATTATTTGTAATGAATAGGTTAGGATTGAATGCTCTTATCAGGTACCCGAAGACCTTTATTTATAGTAATAGGAAGTTGTGTCCCAAAAGAACCCAAACTCTAAGATGTAATAGGATAGACCTTATCACCAATTCCAAGATATTTGTCATATTCAGGGTAAAGTTAGATCAGAACTCTTACTCCTAGTTCTTATCATTAACTCATGTTTGTTCAAAGTAATATCGTACTAGAACTCTAGGTCCTAGGTTGAAGGGAGGGATGTATTTTCCAAGAGTCATTGTTAATATTATCACTAACTCCTTAATACTTGGAGTAATATTTTGCTTATAACTCTTGTTACTTGATCAGACCATATTAGAGTAGGACTCTTTTTGTCGTATGGAGATGCAAGAGAATGTGAGAGCACATTGGACGTTAAGCGACCGAACCCAGGTAGCTTCAGGTTTGAGGAGCAGACCGACAGAGACCCTAGAAAGCACCTGCCAGGGACCTATCCAAGTAGGAGTCGAGCAGCATAAGCCTGCTCAAGTGGCTGCCGACCAGCATGGACCTCTTTATGCCTCACACCAACCTTTATAAAAACTTGGGCCATGCTGCCTAAATCTGCTACTGTCATTCTACAAAACTCAATGGTTTTTTTATGTTTTATCTTGTTTGACATGTGCAAAAGCTTCCTGCACCAGAAAAAATCAAACAATCCTCCCAACATTTGGCACAATTAGGAATAATTTGGACATCAGTTCTACAAATATTATCACACGATTAATAGACAAAGGCAGTTATATTATTTTGGTTGATTACTGACAAATTTGCCACTTCTCCCAAGACTACCTCTAAAACTCAACAAACGTACAAGGCGAATCATACAAGTTTATTTTACGAGTAAATAAACTTGAATCTGACTTCCAGCGATAGTTACTTTATAAACAAAAAGTTTGCAGAAATTAGCCTCATTCATTGATCTAATATATCGTACAATTCACCAACACTATCTATACTTGCAAAATATTCAACCATACAAGCTTTAGTCACCCTCCTACGTTGGGTAATATTTACTTTATGAGCATTCCTAACGAAATCTTAGGAATCCCCTCATGGCTCTCACAAACTCAGAAACTAATGATAGTTACACGGAAAAAACGCTATTACATGGTTCATGGGAGCATGCCATGAAATCCCAACTCAAATTCATATAATACTTAGCACCATCAAATTTTTCTCTCATTTGTTTGTGCACAGTCACTATGGAAAAGCAAGAACCCATTAAATTTTGTAGTCCAATTACTGAAACAAATCTGCCGCTCATCTGCCAAATAGTGCTAAGACTTCCACATCTAGTGCCTTGGCCTAGTAGTAAGCTGGACCTACCAAGGCAAAGGCGCCATGATTCGAATCCAATTATGGGCAAAGTGGGGAAAGAGTTAAATTAAATCGTCAACTATCAAGAAAAATCCACAAACATGAAGAGCTCAACAAACTTCACTTCACCCCTCTATACCATACTAAATTGACAACTCATGATTACAAAAAAAAGAAAACTGAACTAACAATGAAAATTTTAAAAATTGGGGCTACAATTACGATCAAAACTGGTAAAAAAATTTACTTACTGGCACGAGAACCGGACGCGCCGGCCCGTCGAAGACCCTTCTTCTTGATAATGAAGCTGGATCCAATAAACGCACTGGACGCCACCGCCAGGATAAACCCTATCAGATTAGTACTATACATGGCCGGAACAGCAACTCTATGGATTGACCATTGATCAATTTACTGGTCATCTGAATCAAAATGTGCCCAACCACCAAATCGAAATCATAGATTTCAATTTCGATTGTAAATACAACAATAGTACTTTTCTGACAGAAGAACGAAGGAGTACTGTGTCGAGAGAGTGATATACGGAACTGTAAAAAAATGTGTCTAAATATATATGTATTCGGATTTTTGGGCGATGGAATGAATATTGGTAGTAACGTATTTGGTTGGGTTCACCTGCGAGTCTAAGCTACGGTCGTCACTGCTGCTCGACTGTCGAAGTATATTCCCGTAATTCCAAATTTACGTCTGTAGGTTCCAATCTAGGAATGACAAGGGCGGGCTAGCAATGGGTCGGGTTTGTGCCGTGACCAATTGATTACATGCTAAATTTTATTCAATCGTATCCGATTTATAATATAAAATAAGACATGTCGGCGTCTAATGCTTTGGGCAGGATAGATGAAATATGGGAGACATAGAATGTACGAGAGATATATTTTTTATCCTTTAATAATAGAAAGTAAGAATCATACATTTTTCTTTATTTATGTTTAGTCGGATGGATAAAAAAATAAAAATGACTAATTTTTTTTTTTGTACTGGTTAAAATTACGGGTAACAATCGAATCGTGTTGTGTCAAATTTATGTTGAGTCATAAAATTATAAACTTTAATATTTTTCTTCACGTGTCAGATCATTTTCAAAATCGTGTCAAGTTATAATTAAATTCGTATCATAAAATTTGGATCAAGTTCGAATTGTGTCATCGTGTTGAGTCGAAAAATTTTATCCCTAATTAAGACAAAGAGCGACTCAGATCGTTTTGTGACCAAAAAGGACATCATCCGATGGACAATGTTTTCTCAAACTGTCTCAAGCTATTGACATATGAGATCATTTTGATCCGACGTATCATATTGGCTTTTCAAAATTTTTTCATACTCAAAAAATTTAGTTATCAAAATTAGCATTCCTAAATTTAATTCCTCTAAATTTTTTCCTAAAATCAAGCAAATCCTAACTCTCTCTCTCATTCTCTTTGTATCTCTTTCTCTCTCACGCTCAATTCACGCACACATACACACCTCTTTCACTCACACTAAATTTACTCACACCCCAATTCACGCTACTCTGTCATTTCCTTAAGTAAATATTTTGTTCAAGAGCAAGGTAATTTTTGCTTTGAATTTTAATATAAGATTTAATTTTTTTGGCATTAGTTATATGGTTTGATATTTGAGTTGCCCAAATAATCGTTGGTTACATTATTAATATTAAGACTTGACACTATTCATTGAGTTCTTACCAATATTTTATTTTGTTTAGGTGCATTTATGCAATATTTTTATTTTGTTCATCTATGGTCAATATTTTATTTTGTTTAGTTTTGGTTATAACATTTTTGTACATCATGGACTCTCTCTCTCTCTCTTCACGCTATGTCAGCTTCTTTGCAATTGTGCTAAGATTCTCCATGGTACGGCCATTAATGGCATTGAACTAATTCCAAATTCATGTCTTTTTTTTGGGAAGAATTACACCTAGACTTCATTAGATTTGTCACTTAATCACTCGGACCTCATAATATTTAAAATATTATACACAAACCCCCTAAAATTTATACACGCGCAACACTTAGACCCCTACTAAAAATATATCTGTTAATAAACTACAATCAAACCCCCCTGAAATTTGTAAACATATATTATTTAGATTCCTTAAATTTAAAATGTTATAATTAGACCAAAAATACGTCAACTAAAGATAAAATATCAAATATTTTAAATTATACGTTTAAAATTCATGTTCTATTTATCTTTTATATAAATAAAATCAAAAATAAAAATTTAATTTTTTCTTAAAAAATTGTAATTAATATACAATTATATTATCTATTAGAATTTAACTGGATCGTTTAAACGACCAAATTAAAATATCAAACTACCTTAATTAAAGCTAAAAGATATTGTGTCTACCTTTTATTTAATTTTTTAGTTTTATTCTAATAGATAGTATAATTATATACTAACTATGATTTTTTTTAAAAAAAACTAAATTTTTATTTTTGATTTTATTTCAATAAATGATACAATAAAATAAGAATTTTAGTTGTAAAATTTAAAATATTTGATATTTCTATCTTTGATTAGAGTATTTTTGATCTAAGTATAATGGGGTCTAAGTATTATATACTTACAAACTTTAAAGGAGTTTAAGTGTAATTTATTAATGGATATATTTACAGCAGAAGTTTAAGTGTTACACGCGTACAAACTTCAGAGGGTCTGTGTGTAATATTTTAAATGTCAGAGATTTTAAGTATTTAAGTGACAAACCTCAAGGAGTCTAGATGTAATTCTCAATATTTTTTTTTGTACAAAACGGGGAAAGGTTCTATAAACCTATGAAATTTCTAACATACCAATAAAATACATAAACCAAACATGATAAATATTGTGTTTTGATGCATTTTGGGCTATTGATTTATTGTTAATTGTGCATCGCTATAATTATTATTAATGTGGTGTTGTTTAGTATACTAATTTGGTTGTTTAAGGTATTCGTTGTGACATTGAGAGTTTTCTTTATTTAGTTATTTTGAGACCTCGAGTCATTGTCTTTAGTGACAATGCTTCGAAAAAAATCCTCTACATAATCTTTATGAAGACAATTTTGCTAAAGGTACCTTGGTGCAATTGAAACCACCCTCCATGTGTTCTATGAACAACATTTTCATTTTTGGCCATGTAAGATATTTTTGTAATAGATTTCTTTTACAACCTCTCATAATATTTATCTTATGAGAGGTGATAATCCCTGACTATTTATAAATTTTAAATTTTTTTTTTACAAATAGATAAGGATAATAACCTAGATCATAAAGTAAGTCGATAGAGTTATGACTCATTTATTACTTCTTATATCTTATTGCTCAATTTAGCTTTAAATTTCTTTTAATTGGTAGGTCCAGTTGTTTTGACAAAAAAATAAAGGCGTTGTGATTCGTGATGAATGCGAACTTAACTGCCTTCACATATCTGAAAATATGACAACAAATTTAAATATAATGATAGATGCATTATGTTTTTTAGTTATAATAGTTTTTTTTTATGAATGGTTGAATTCAACACATAAGTAAATGTTATATAATTGTTTATGTTCATAACAATGATTCTTTTAATAATGTTTTAGATATCCAACAATAATGACATATAAAAACATCATGTGGCACACCGTGCACGTCGAGAATGAGATGAAATAATCACATTAATTTTATGTTATCATTCAATATTGTCAAGATTGGTGTGAATTGACTAAATAGATAAAAAGAATAAATATAACCTAGTCTTTACACTGTTTTAACGAACTATTTTTTTGTTTATAAGTAATATATTCCACTAAGATTTTTTTTATTTCTTTATGCAAAACTAGGTTATTGTACATTCACCCAACTTGCGGTTTTTGCATATATATTGACACAAGAACATTCAGAAAAGTGATGAAGAGAAAATTCAATGAAGATAAAGTTCAGTGAAATATTGAAAGAATGAACCATTAAAATGAGTTTTCAGTTATTTTTGCATTTGCATATTTAGTGCTTTAGTTCTTTTGTACTTTACTTGATGCTTGCAATACTAAGGAACTGCAATATTAGAATCTATTAGTTTTGTTTAGTGAATTCAGGGGATATTTTTATTATTCATATAAGTTTTGAGTGCGAGTCTTTTCCGTATTTTCATAGAATGCATTGCCATAAAATATTGGTGGATAAAGCTAATAGTTGGATCACTAGCATTTTATTTTGATTTTTGTTGTTGTGGTTAAATCTATAGAATTTCGAATTGATTCTTTTGGAATGTTGAGTTGACTAATTGACCATTATTTTGTTATATAGTATCTTCGGGTGTGGGTAATTGTTTGTAATTTTTTTTGTTATATAGTGCCTTCAAGTACGAGTAATTGCTAGTGTATATATATAAAATATTTTATCATTATATTTTATATAAAATTAATGTATACATAATATATAGACAAATAAGATACATCTCAACACAAATAATTAACTTTTCATCCATGAAAGGATTGATTTTGGTGAGTTGGTAGGAAAATCAATCTATCCACTTTTTCATCCTTCCTATTTTCCATCCTTACCAAACATGATGGTTTATTTATATTTCCAATTTTTCCTCCTTCTAACTTTCTATCATTTCATTTTTCCATCATACCAAACAAAACATAAGATTCCTCTCAAAACTATTTACATTACACCGTACCTTTAGGCACAAATAATCCCTAGTTCATTTATAATATAAGATGTTCAAAAAAAATCTATTTATAATATGAGAGTTGGATTTATGTTGCATCAAGTTCGCACAGTAGAGTCATATCATATTTAATAGGGTTTTTATCAATCTATTTATTTGACAATTTTATTGGTTGCCTATTTATCACTTGAATACGTTAAGTCTATGCTCAATTTTATTAATTTTATGTCGAGTTTGTAGATCATATTTAAAATTATCGAGCCTAACGAAAATCGAATCATAGTGAGTCGTACCTAAGGTTGGACCATTCTGGTTCATGTCAACACTAACCTAACACATTTTTTCAAACAATTTAGTAATTTTTTTTCTAATTTTTTCTAAATTGCAAATTGTAGTAGAATTAAATGACCCACATAAAAATAATTAATTTTACTTAAATGCTTAATAAATGTATATTATCTATAAAATCCGAGGGAAAAAAAAAGAGAATCTCACCTTGATTTTTTAATATGTTTATGTGATTTATTAGTCATTAGATGGATTTATTTAAGAGTGTACTTTTCTATTTTTATTATTTTGAGCAAATATATTTTTGCTTTTGTTAGAGTATCTCCAGCACGATTCAACTTTTTACTCAAATTTGAGTAAAAAACTTAATTTGTTATGAATGGATCTAATGAATAAACTCAAATTTAAAGAAAGAGAAACTAAAATTTAAATGAGGGAAAAACTAAATTTAAAAGAGAATAAAGATGATCATTGGATCTTTAAAAGAGAATGAAATCTTACCATTAAAGATTTGGATAAGGATTTGAGTAAAAAAATAAGTCTTCATTGATTTGGTATAAGTTTGAGTCAAAGGTTGGAACAAGTTTTTTTTTAGACTTTTTCACTCAAATTTAAATTTGAGTCAAAAACTTGATTTGGTATAGAGTATTCCATTAGACAAACTCAAATATTTATTTGATTCTTTTAAAAAATTCTCTTGTTATCCCAAAACTCATTTTTATTAATTTTTCCTACCAAAATA